TACTCTCTCTCTCTCTCTCTCTCTCTCTCTCTCTCTCTCTCTCTCATGTGGCAGGAAATGAAATCAGACAAAGTGATGAGTTGGGTACTCCTGCTCAGATCCATTATAGTCATAATACAGTCTCTCACCCTTTGCAATGTCACGTATTGCTATCAATAAAACTCGGCATTCTCCACCAATATTATATCTTACACACTTTAGGTTCTGTTTCTTCTTTCCATCCCTGCAATTTTAACAAATCTCTTCTTTCACATGCATAGCAATTAGAAGAGGGAAACTTCCATTGTAGCTCATATACTTGCATATATTTAGAGACCAATAACCATCAGGTCATGATGGGATGTCTGGTAGTCAGCCGACACAATGTCATGTATCAACATCAATTAATTTAACCAATGTACAATTAATGTGTGGCATTATCGTTGGCTCACTGCTAGGATCCTCAAACACAAACTATGTGACGCACTGAGTTACAAAAAACCTAAACCCAACTGAGATCAAATAGATAGGAAAACCATAACCTAATAAAAATAGATTGTCTACAAAGAGACCATTTACCTTTGTTACAAGGAGGTTACAATTATTCCTACTCAATTTGGATTGCTTGAGGTGAGTCATGAAATCCGAAAAAAAAAATTTGGAACTTTGATTCTATTAAGTGACACTCTCATAACCACCCATTTTGAAATATAAGGGACAAGAGTGATTGTGACCTTGTACAAAGATAAATAGCCTCTTTGCATACTTTTTTTAATAAAAAATACAAAGAATTTTGAGAGAGACAGTTTACGTGGTGTGGTTGTTGATTCCATTGATGAAGCGAGCGATGTTCGAACGTTTATCAGGACAGATGACAAGGCTCCTGGATGGGTTGTGAGCTGAGAGAAGGGTCATCATACTATCACCATCATCATGTTCTCGGTTCTTAAGATAATCGACATCACCAGTGTATTCTGTAACTATGGTTAAATCCTTTATAAATCTATCAGCCACAACTGTAAACCTGTTTGCATTCATCAGAAGATGAAAGCATGTTATTCTTTCTACTAGTTCAATTGTCGCAAACAAACAAAAAAGAAAAGAAAAATAGAGCAGGAAATGTCATCCATTTCGGAAATGTAGAGATTGTCAACAATTGCCTAAAGGGATGAAATGGCACCAGCTAGAAACTTCTTTCAAGTTACGAAAACTGTTTTTCTCTTTGGGTGGTGGAGAAATCTATACATTTTCCCACCAGAAATGCACAGGCAACATAGGAAGATCCTCATCCTCTCTCTGTCTCTCTCTCACACACGAACCATTCTTCTATGAAAGAGCTTGCACTAACTTAATGAAACTGGTGCCATGATCAAATTTATCATCCAAACCACCTTTTTCAATTTATTGAGGCAAAAAAGATAAAAAATATATTTACCCTTCATTAGGATCAAAGGCCACAAGAAGAGGGGGCCATTCTCCTCTTTCACACATGGACTTGCACATGTTCAATGTTTCAGTGTCTTCTCTACACAGAACCTGTAATAATCATAGCCCAATTGTACCAATATCAACTGTTAGAGAACACTTTGCTGTCTTGGTTGGTAGGAGGAAGTTGGGAAAATGCAACTAAACATGATGCACATTAAATAATCAATCTACAAGAGAAATGATAAGAAAAAAGAAAAAAAGAAAGCCTGAATTCTCTAACTAACTATATTATACTTATGCAGTTTATGTTCAATCAAACATTTCTCTAGTGTCCACCAGGATGCGGAACCATGTGAGAATGTGGCAACCCCGAGTAATTATCCATAAGAAATGTGACAAACCAAGCAGATAGATAGATAGATAGAGAGAGAGAGAGAGAGAGATAGAGAGAGAGAGAGAGATAGGAGAGAGAGAGAGAGAGAGAGAGATGGGTCCATGGTGAAAATGGTTCACCATGGCACCAGCAATGGCAGGCACACCTAACAAGCTCTCATTTAGACTTGTATTATTTTCAATTGCGCAGGGCTTAGTCTACCCTCCATACCCCTCTTGTGCACTATAGTGGCTGCCTACATTAGTCAGAGTCTGCACTTGAAGCACCGCACGTCAAAACATGCCTACACATCCAAATACGGGATTTAGAAAACAAAGATATAGAGAACCAGGTAGGGTTTGAACTTTGAACTAAAGACATCCCTCTCAAGTCTGTGTTATCTACCACTGTGCCAAAGACATTCAAGTAAAACAAAGATGAACTGTTTATCAGATATTGTAAGAGCTAATGCGTGGCCTTCCCCTCTCTCCCTCTCTCTCTTCCTTCCCTTATTCTCTTTATCTCTATCTTTGTAGAAGCTTCTAATACCAAACTTCCTTGATGGTTACGTGGACAAATGTAGAAGGGACATGCACACCAATTAGGAAGCACAATTGTGTCCACACATGGATAGTCATGATAGTGAATGAAGGCTATATATAAGGGGATGGATAGGAGGTTTAAGCATCAAGAAGCATCTAATGGAATGAGGGTAGTAAAAGATATGTAGAAGAAGAGTGTTAAGTGCATAGAGTGAGAAAAGAGAGAGGTAGGTGTGTAATGTGTGAGGAAGTGGCATGGGAGAGAGTGTTATATAATGATATGAGGAAGAGAGCATACTTAGTGAAAAGTGTGTGTTGCAAAGATATTGAGTAATGCATTTAATGTGCTGAGTGTGTAATTCTTATGCTATAATGAGTGAAATGAAATATTTTGTATTTCTCTCTCTCTCTAAGGTGCAGTGCAAAGTGATTAGTTTTCAGAAATTCTGGCAAGTGTAAGTGCCCAAAAGATCCCTACAAGTCATATCAGAGCCTTAGAAAATCCCTACAAGTGATACCAGAGTAGGTTCAATCAGTGCAATTTTACGTGAGCAGTGCGATGTTGTGAAGGCATTCAATCGAGGACCAAACTTCTTGGTGGTAGAGATCAACAAGCAACCACATCAATCACAATGCTATACCTAGCAAACACAACTGGAAGACTTGAGAAGTTGAACAATCACAACTACGATGACTGGCACTTGTGCCTTGAATCTTAGTCGCAAAGACAAGACCTCTAGGAAGTTGTAAGCAGCAGGGATACTATTCTACTTGCAAGAGATAACATAGAAGCACTACAAGTCTACAAAAATGGTGCATTAAGGCTGGAAAGGCTGTGTTCATGCTAAAGACAACAGTTCAAAAGGAGCTACTTCAAAAGAAGCTACTTCAAAAGAAGCCTGGGACATGTTGGCTACTGTTTGCCAAAACCAATGATGCTTGACTCCAATTCTTAGGGATTAGCTCAAATCAATGTCCTAAGAAAGATGATGATCAGCCAATACTTTAAAGAGTAAAACCTTTGTCACGAGATCTCCAATCTCAATCCAAAATCACAGATCAATGAAACCAGGATGCAGGGAATCATCACTAGAGGATTGAGACCCAAGTAGACCAGCTTCATGATGGCCATCAGAGGTTGACAGACCCAACTGTCTTAGAAAGTCTACAAAGCGAATCAAGAGACCTTGACAGGCAAATGGCTAGTGTATCTATTAAAGATGAGGAAGAGGCTCTCTTCACTCATAAGAGCAGAACAATCATGAAGAAAGGAGAGACTGCTGAGAATAGTCGATGGAGGGAGGGCTCCTGAAAAGGGGGAGCTAGATGAAGCAACACCAATGCTGATCGGCAACCAAGGAGATCCCGACGAAACATCAAGTGTTACAATGAGTCCGGAACTGGCCGACCAACTACCAGCCGATCCAGGAAGCTCCACAAGAGGGCTGACACTGGCCAACAAATCACCAAACTAAGGCGAGCATAGGAACCCAAGGAGTTAGCTCTTAGTACATTCTTTAGCACTGAAGTCACCAATTATAGTCAAAGTTGGATTGTTGATTCAAGGTGTTCGAACCATTATTAAGAGACTAAGCTACGTTCTTGAACTTAGGTTAGTACAAGGGAGGCAAACTCATTGTTATAATCAATAATGCCATGTTGCCATTCACCCAGATCAGCAAGGTTGCATGTTTTGCCAATTCAGAGAAGCCCAACTACACGATGTATACCACATAGAAGGCATGAAGAACTTGATATCAATATCACAATTGACAACAGACGTGCAACTTTGTTGTGTTTGGGACAGATGATGTCAAGGTGTACTGAAGCTTGAAGCTACATGCAGAAAATGTTATCAAGAAGATTTTGGGCCATGTATGAAGACAACGAAACATCATCAATCGACTACCTTAGTCTAATATCGGTTTCATCAAGGTTTAAAAAAAAGTTGGGCAGCCCCTAGGCACCGGGGGGGTCTATGGCGCCCAACGCCTAGGCAGCTGCCCAGAACCTCAGGCGGCCAGAGGTGCACGAGACGTACATATATGCATATATGTGCTGTTGAAATACACAGATATGCCTATAAATGTGTTGGATATGTATATATATATATATATATATATATATATATAATAAAAATATAAACTAACTTTTTTACACAAATGTATGTGTAAATGTTGAAACACATTCAAAGCACTGGAAATTTTGCTTCTTCAGATAACGAAAATGGTGAAAAAAAAACACTAGTACATAGTATCTTAGTGCTTTAGTTTTCACACACCATACTCTATAGTGTATACTTCATACAGTCATATTCACTCTAGGACTCCAATGAGACCAAATGACCAATACAAAATGATGTTTCACAAAAGACGTTACACAAATGAAAAGAAAGAGGAGATCTTTAATTGTCCAATGTTTTAGATGTTTTATCCTCAATGTTTTGGTTGTATAACAAGCTCAAAATACCCCAAAATTCTTCTAAGAACCTCGTTTGGATCCTAAAATTGTTTGCAAGAAGTACAATAAGGTTTCTAATGATTCAACAAACTTCTCAAAATTTTCTCGTTTTGAAAAAATCGCAAAATACATTAATTTTGGGTGTTTTCAAGGCATAGGAAGAGCTGTAACTTTGGGGGTCAAAATAATCCCTTTCCATGAGTCAAAATAATCCAAAGTGCCCCTGCAAAAAAAAAAAAGAACACCATGTTTATGTTAGTTCCTGAGGGCCCACCTAGGTTTGAGCATTGGGTGCCCGACTAGGAGGGTGCTGAGGAACTTCCACCTAAGAAGGCCCGTCGAGGCCTAGGTGGCCAGCCTATAGGCTCTTGGGCATTTAGGTGGCCACCTAGGCACTGGGCAGGCCACTTTTTGATACAATGGGATTCATCTCACCATAGGAGAAGCTTTGGAAGATGAAACCCATTGTAAGTCACTCTAAAGTGTTTGGTTGTGTATATTATGTACCTATTCACAAAAAGTTGCACAGCAAAGCTTGAGAAGAGGCGCTACAGTACATATTCATAGAATATGACACTAAACAGAAGGGTTGGAGGTGTTGTGACCCATCACATTGAACTCCAAAAACATAAAAGTACCAAATACCTAAAAAGTGGAGAGCTCCAACAAGAGTTTGAAGAAAATTGAGATGCATATGTTAATCAACCAAGTGAGGCAGTCAAACATAGCCAAGAGTCTAAGACACAATATAGTCCACAAACCTCTCCAAGACCACTCACCAGCCTATGGAGAGATGGTGTCCATCAGCCAATGACACAAGAGGAAGTTCGACCAAGCACTCGAGGTCATTGAAGAACCACAACTACAACATTCAACCAGGACAAGAAAACGGAATCCCAATTACATGGACGCTGCATTGGCCAAAGTAGAGGATAGGCAAGAAAGGACCTCTTACAAAGAGAAGCCCCGTCAAAGTCAGAGTTAAAGCTAAAGCCTAAGCCCAAGCCCAAGCCCCATAGTTAAGAGACCTTCAATATGTGAGAAACTGAACTGTAAACCTTGACCCTCACAAATTTGCTTCCTGTTTTTTAGAAAGAGAAAGGTCAATGAGCCATCTGAAGTGCTACCGAAGAAGGCTAAGATTGAGAATGACGTTGAGGAGAAGCATTCAAAGAAAGATAAAGGGAAAATTACAGAATCCCCCACACCTAGAACAATCTTCCCAAAACACCCCACATTGAATAGTCTCTCTCATGTATTACCCTAAATTAACCCTTTTTTTTTCTCATTGATCCCCCAAGGTACATTTTAGGTTAAATTGTGACCAAATTGCCCTTATTAAATGCTTTGAGAAAAGTCAACAAGAAATCTCTCTCCTTTTTTCTCTCTATTCTCCCCATTCAAATTTCATCTCTCCCTCTCTCTAACTTATTTGTATCTCTCTTTTTTACTTTCCCCCATTTTCTCTCTCAACATATCCCTTCAAAGGTGAATGATGGCCATAAATAAGGGGTGGATAGGAGGTTTAGGCATCAAGTAGCATTGAGTAGTATGAGGGGAATAAGAGAGATATACGAGATGAGTGTAGTGAGAGAGATATAAGAGATGAGTGTAGTGAGAGATTGTGTAGAAAGAAACGAGAGTCGTAAGTGTGTAATGCACGAGGAAGTGGCATAAAAGAGAGTTTTGTAATGATACAAAGGGGAGGGTGTAATAATGTCATAAAGATAAGA